AGAGTGTTCTCTATGCTGTGGTCATAACCATTACTGATGTTCGTGAACATTGTTTAAAACTTGGAAACCAATAGCTGCATAGCTGTGTCAATATGGCGTTGAGTGTTGGATGCAAGATCCATTGCAAGCCCTGGGTAAATACTCAGAAGCCTAGTCTTTTCTGAGCTCTCTTCTACCACCAGTGCACTGCTTTCAGTAACCAAATTAGCTTAGTTTTAAAAGTAGTGGAGGTATGTTGGCATAAGCTACCCTCAGATTTTTGGCTGCAATGCAGACATACCCAAGGACTCTGGGGGGGTTGTGGGGGAGGCGGCAAGAGCACAGCTCTCTGGCTGTGTGTTCACTGTCTCTTCCTGTTGCCCCCAGGTCTCTGGGATTTGCAGTCGACAATCACAGAAGCAGGGCTTTGCAGGGTTGCTTATCACTTCTTCGTCCTGCTTCCAGGTGCCGCTGGGATTTGTAGTTCACAGTTGCAACCAGCAAGAAGTTTGAGCAGGGGAAGGGGTGTTTAACCCCTCCCCCCAGCCCCAGACCCCAACCAGGGTTTGCCTGGAGAGATCAGTCCCCACACCAAGGCTGGGCTGCATCTCCAGCTGGGCTTGCACCCTCCACTCCCTTATCAGCCAGCCCTCACTGCTCCAGGTAGGGAGCAGAGGGATGGGGCCAGCCCTGCTCTCTGGCGGGGCTGGAAGGCTCTGGCTCCTGCGTGCATCCTGGGAGGGCACAGGGGGTGGGGGTGGGGGGATGGATGGAAGGTGCATCTGCCTCCAGATCTGCACAGGGCAGGGCAGGCCCAGGGCTGGAAAGCATGCTGGGATGCTGGAGGACTGTGATTTAACATGAATCAGGAAGGGGTCTGGGACAGAAGTTTCATAAATCATTTTGACCCAAATCAATTATGTCTGTTATTACATTCAACCAGGTTCTTCTTAAACCAGTTTCAGTTATTTTGAAACTGGTTTGTGTGCACTGAGCTTCTGTTCTGTTACAGGTTTAAACCAGTTTCTGATCACTTAAACCAGTTTATGTGTAACTTCTGTCCTAGCCAGCGGGTATTCCCTTTCCATTTTGAACCAGCAGTTTTTTAAAGTACGTTTTCAGTTGCAGCTGAAATAGAAATGAATATAATACCTTGTAATTAATGAGAAATAGGCATTTATCATTCCTGTGCTTTTGGAGCACATACTGAAATGCCAGACATCTGTCAAACATGTTCCCTTCCCTGCTTCACAGATGGGGAGAGGAATTACATTTTCATTTCTCTGTATTTGTCCCCACACAACCTGAGTGGGATTAAACTTCACTAGTTACCTACGAGGATGAAATCACAGTAGCACATTTTGAAGCTGAATAGTCTCTTACCATTTGTTTTTCTGTTTGGAAATTTATTTTATCTATAGGATTTTCTCCCGTGATTGTCACCATAATAGCACCATAGTTAACTTAGAAAAGAACATGTATTTAACATAAGTATATAAGAAGTGCCATACTAGGTCAGACTAAACTAGGTTTATCTAGCCCACTGTTTTGTCTCTGACACTGGCAAATAGTAGATGCTTTAGAGCAAGATTCTCAAACTCATCTTATGCTCCATATTGGATCTGGATGGCAGGTCTCCTTTTGGGCTGGATCCAGCGTGAGCCATGGGGAAGCAGTGGCAGTGACAGCTCCAGCTCTGACCCAGAGCATGTGGCGGTGGTGGTGGTGGTACACAGCAATGGCTCCAGCTCCCATCCTGAATCCTGTGTCAGAGCCAGAGAAGCCACTACCACAACATCTTCAGTTCCAACATAGGGCAAACAGCACAGGGACCTGGTTTAGAAAGTTTGCAGTTTTGTCTCTTTCTGAAAAGTGTGTAGATTTAAACATTATAAGACTTACAAAAAGCTTACTAGACGTGTGAGAAATGTCTTTTTTTTTTTTTGTATTTTGAAGGTTACATTGAATCTTTTAAACTTCCTAATAAGAATTACTAAACATTGCAATACATCACTGAGAATTGAAGTCATGTTGGGGGTTTTTTTAAAGCACAGCAGTGCGTTCCTAACACAGAAATGTAATTTGTGTTTTGTTGTTTCTATGTACAATTCAATTAAATTTGTAGAAGGTGATTTATTGCTTTAGGCTAAAAGAAAAAAATAATCAAATGCCTAGCTTAGTGAGTGAAACAATATGCCTGGAGATTGTTCTAAAATTATAAATCACAACTACCACTTTTGGTGAGAATATGAAGAGTTTCTTATGCATTCTTTTTAGCTTAAAAATGCTTGCATTTCAAAATCTCTTCCTTAATATGAAATCAAGTCCCCTGTTGTGCAAAAAACCAAGGACGGTGCCTAAACAACAGTAAAAAAGGTATGACATTTAAGTTTCAGTGAAACCAGGCTGGGAAGAGAAAATTACCCACAATGGGTAAGTTGCATGCCAAGGGACTACTGAGGTCCTTTCATCAAAAGCAGCAGCAGCTTAGATGGATTGTTTTGCAAAACCAAGGAAATTGGTTCTATCCAAGATAGAAATGGATTGCAAAGCCATTTCCTTTCATTAGTGTGTTATGGATGGAGTTTCAGGGATCAGTATGACACCAAAAAAAGAAATAAACATACAATTTTTTGCAATTTGTCATAGTTCTTAAAATAATACTTTCCCTATTGCCCTGAGTAACTTTTAAACTATTACTATCCTTTCTAGGAAGTTGCATACTATTTTTAACTCTGACTTGATAAAACAAGGCTTTAACACAGTTTTTTTTTTAAAGAAATCAGAATGCTCTAAGTATTTTCATCTTTACAAGTAGCAACCTCTTAGTAATTTCTGTCAAATAGCATGCTGGAGATATGTACACGCTGACTAAATGGCGCCATTATTTTTCAGAAAGCTATTTTCATGGACTTAATCACCTTTTTTTTTGTCTGACCCCTCCCCCAGTGCTACTGAAGCCATGACTGCCATTTGGATCTCAAGATTTTAGGTTGCTGACTTATAATACGAAGTAGTATGCAGCAGCAGGTCATGCCTACTACAAGGTGCTAAGGAATGCACAGGTTTTTACTCTGGAAAGATTTTATTTGGGTCCCAGCTCTGCTTCTGACCATAATTCATGGGACAAAAGTAAAAGTCAGGTTAAAGCTCTCAGGGGTGCTGTTTACAATTTATACTAGGTTTGAGTATTTGACCGGTCAAATACAGTTTGGTAAACTGACTGGTTAAATATTAGTAAAAAATTGTAAAGAATTGCCAACAGGTCCAAATAATACATAGAAAAAGCACCAATTTTCCATTAAAAGATGTGTCAAAATTATTACAAAATCATATTTATGTCAAGAAAACTACAAAGAAAATGTCATTTTTGAGGTTCAATTGCTATAATCTTTAACCGGTCAAAAACATGCAGTCAATTGGCTGGTCAGTTGACAATATTTTACTGGTCAATTGAGTGACTTGCCAACCCTAATTTATAGTAACAATAGCTTTTGAGTTAAGTGTCCAGGTATGAAGGCATTTGAGTACCTTAACCCAGTGTTTCCCAAGGTGTGCCATGAGGCAAGTCCAAGTGAGCCACGCCCCCCACCTGTTGCCACCATGGGCACACAGACAGACGGGGGGTGAGGTTCCAGCCAGTGATTTGCATCCATGCGCTATGTTCAGCTGTGCCCCCCCTTCCCCTTGCTCCGCATCCGGCCCCTCTCCCCCCGGTCTGTGCCCAGTCTCTTGCCACCTCCCCCCACTCTCTTGCTCTGCATTTGGCCGTTGTGCCATGGGATGGGAGAGGCACGGTAAGTATGCTGCTGGAACCAAAACATTGGGAACCACTGCCTTAACCAAAACTATTTGAAGACATAGTTCCGTTATATGCTGAATACTGTATTTATCCAAATACAAGATGACCCCTGAATGAAAGATGACTTTCCCAATGATTAGATTCTAAACATGGAAAATTTATAGATGTATTATAATTTTCCATGTATGGAACCTAATTATTGAAGGATAATCTTAAATTTGCACCTCCCCCAGGTGGTGGGGGGGCAGTAATGGGGTAGGGGTGTGGCACAGACGGTAGGACAGACAGTAGAGGGGGAACTTGGTAGGGCAGGAAAGTGCAGTAATGGGGCAGGCAGTGGGGAGCAGGTGGTAAGGGCAGGCAGTGAGAAAGGCAGGAAGTTTGCCCCTTGCCACCTTTCTCCCTCCCCCACTTATCCCTCATATCTTCCCTTCCCCCCACAGCCTCAGGCTGCCCCAATTTCCCCCTTCCCCTGTTTCCCCTTCCTCCGCCCTCCACATTTCTTCTGCCCGCTTCAAGCTCAGATCCTTGCCCCCCCTTCCCCCATCTCCCCCTCCAAATTCTCTCCCCCCACCTTGCCTTCCCTCCTTACCTTTGCTTGGCATCAGCAGGCTCCATCCCTAGTGCAACCTGGGGCACAGAGCATGGCTTCAGCCCATCCCCATAGCAATGGCAAAGGACCAGAACTACGGCTCTAACCCAGCCATGTAGCAGCAGGGGCACGGAGCCAGCACTGCTGCCATGGGGCTGGGCTGGCGCAGGAGGTAAGGAGGAGTGCAGCAGAGAGGGAGAGAGAGGAAGGAGGGAGAAGCAATACAGGGGTGGGGAGACTGGGGGCTGTTGGGGAGAAGTGGTGGGGTATGCAGAAGCAGCAGGGTAGGGGGGGGCACATGCCAGCTCCAGCTCCAGTTGCAACCCCAACCCGGGGTTGGGGCCAGAACTGCAACAGCTGCCTGTCTCTCTCCCACCTCCTCCTTCCCCTGCTGTCTCATGCTAAATGAGGGGAAAACTTGATTTTCTAATTAAGTAAATGAGGTACATGGTTTAAATAATTAAAAAATATTGACTGAGTTCAAATCTTCTAGTAATTTTTGAAGATCCCAGCCTAAATTGTCAGGATTGTTTGCTTGGTATACTTTTAACTAGTTAAAAATATACAAATACTGCAAAAATGATGTTAAAAGAGTTACAGTAAATCTGTTTCCTTTGTCATCCTCAGGAAAGATGTCCAGCGAGCGTGCTTTGAGAAAACAGCAGCAACTGAACAATTTGGTGGCTATGGTGACAAACCTCAGTAAACCTGGAAATGTGATTGTGGATTTTTGCAGTGGAGGGGTAATGTATGTTTTCTTTATAAAGTGTCATTTCTGTTGCTTTTTCACCAACCAGAAAAGAGGCCAAAGCACAAGCTCTGAAACTGGAGCTTTTTTCAAAGTCTTTGTCACTTTGTGGAGTGCTGCATGTGGGATTGAAGAATAACACTGGGATTTTTTTGTTTTGTTTTTTTTATAGGGCCATGTTGGGATTGTTCTTGCTCACATGCTGCCATCTTGCCAGGTGAGGTCTGAATAAAATGTCTTGACACAACACTCTTTCAGACTTTGAGAATTTAGAACTGTCTTAAAAATCTGTGATTTGGTAGAAACTACGTACCAGTGTGCTTTGTCCTGGAGTTCTCTGTATTGACGTATGTAAAGTATTTGTCGTGAGACAAAACTGTGGCGGCATTTCTCGAAAGGATAGTTCAGAAGAAGTTTTCCAAAGATGCTAGCAGCAGTGCTAGTGCTGTGTCCTCAGTGCATTATCATCCACTTGTTTGGTCCAAGTCATCATGGTATTTAAGTACAAGCTCAACTAGGCCCATGATTGAACCTACCCCTGAAGCATCTGCCTAAGTTTTGTGCTGAATTGAAGCTGTTATTATTAAGGGATTGTCTGTAATACCCCACTTTTCCTACTCACCTGAAAGGTGTTTTGTGGGTGAGGAAACAATCTGATTCAGGCACATGAAACCAGCATGTGCCAGCAGAGTACCTCAAGTTTAAAAAGATTGCAAATGTTAGAATGTAAAAGGTTTAGTTTAATCCCAAATGAACCTGGGGCTTGACTGAGAAAAGAGATTGTGTTTAGAAAATGAAAGTGTTCATTAATTGTTTGACATTTAACAGGCATAGGATCCCTTCCATTTCTATTTGTTTTCGAGCATGCCACTTTGGAGGACATCTCAAGATGGGTGCCAAGGAATTAAGTGCAGATTTTTGTGTTCAAACAGAGTATGTTTTGCAATAGTATCTGGATACTTTGATTTTAGACTAATATGGCTGACATATTTTTCTATATGCAAAATCCAGGTGGTGCTAATAGAAAATAAAGAGTTGTCATTGGTTCGTGCTAAAGACAGAAGCGATGAACTAGGATTAAATAACATTTGCTTCATTCAAGCAAATCTGGACTATTTTAAAGGGACTTTTAATATTGGGGTAAGTAATTATGTCCTTTCAACTTTTAACTTTAAGCATTAAGATATAGGTTTATTTCAGTATTTAGCTATACTTACAAACAATTTGAACCCATCCATTACTGTTTATTTAAAGATGGGCATTTTTGATCATAAAGTCACTCTTGTTAAACATACAACATGCACCTGAATAAAATATGCACCCTGGTTTTCAAAGGCAGAATGAAGGAAAAAAGATCTTTCCTTGAGAGCCGCTGCTGAGGTGGGGAGAAAGTATCCAGAGGCAGCAGCTAGTGTGCAGCACCTGCAGTGTTATTTTCACTTTCCCTTGGAAGATGCATAAGCAGCAGAATCTGCTGGTGTTATATTTCCTTGATTATAATGCATATCCCAATTTCCAGCAGGTGAATTAGGGGTGGGGAAGGTAGATGCTATATGCAAGAAAATATGGCATTAGGAAGTGAGTTTTGAATTCATAGGAGTTAGGAGGGAAGATAATGTCTTCTTAGGTATTTCTTGCATGCTTGTACCACTCCCTGCAGTAAACAGCACATTAAAGAAGAAGGTCCTGCTCCAAAGAGCTTTAAAAACAAAGAAGATAATTAAAGTACATTAATACTGATGACCATCTGGTAGAGAGGGGTACCAGGGTTTTGTCTTGCTCTTAATCATAGCATTTCAAGATGATAAAGGTTCATGAGAGGAGTATACTTAGCGGGAGGATTCAGAGAAAGGAAAGAAAGGCTTACTGTACCCCGACTCTGGGTGACAGTCATGATAATGTAAAAATGATGCTTTTATGCAATGGTGTTGGGGACTTTCGAAATGTCCCTACTGGGGAACGTAGGGGAGAAATTCAAATGTTTGGGTCAGGAGGATGGTGGTAGCACAGCAAATTAGGCCTTGAATGAGAGTGGTAAGGTGAGACTAGAGACATGGAGATAAAGAGCGCAGTGGGTATGGACAAACACAGATTTGTAGCCTCTTCAAAAGGGGAAGTAGAGCTTCTACCCTGTAGTGCAGCAACTGTTAACCTGCATCAGCCTGTAGCAGTACAAGCTAACTAGATTGCCCTAACTTTGACCGTGGATGAAGCACGGTTAAAGTTGGAGTAGTAGTTTTGCTACATTTGCTGCTCAAAGCCAACTTGACAGTACCAGGGTAACAGCTGCTGAGCACTGCAGAGCAATAGCCTGCCCCCCCCATACTTTTAGAAGAAGCTACAAAATCACCCTTTCCCATACTCTTTGTAGGTCACAAAAGAAAAGGAGAAGATCAATTTAAACGTGATACCAAAGCTGAAAGTGAACCAATAGAGAGGAGGTATTACAGCAAGAGAAAGAGTTAGACCTGATACTCAGCCTGGAATTCCACTTTTATTCCATACACAAACAAGTCTTAGACCCAATTTGTGTGTGTGCGCGCGCGTGCGCACACACGCACACACACATGCTAGGGACAGAAGTTAAACATAACCAGATTAGATGATCCAAAACTGGTCTAAACGTGTAACAGGATGGAAGTTCAGTGCACCTAAACTGCTTTCAAAATGGCCGAAACTGGTTTAAGATAAACCTGGATGGATGTAGTATCAGACTTAACTGATTAAGGTCAAACTGGTTTATTGAACTTCTGTCCGAGATCCCCTCCAGATTCAAGTTAACTCACAGTCCTCAGCATCCCAGTCTGCTCCAGCAGAGCAGTGCTGGCCCCTCCCCCAGCTATCACAGAGCTAAGGCACTAAAGCCTTTGCTCCCTGCTAGCACCTGTCAGCCTGGTGGGATGGGGAGGGGCAAGGAAACAGACCCCCAGACCCCTCTAGACCCCCTGTCTGTATAGGACAAGGAGAAAGAAAGCCCCAGTAGTGGTATTTTTCCATTGCAGCAGCCAGGTGAGTGGAGTTGGCATCAGCTCGTCTGAGAGGGGAGGTGGGGTAGACAGGGAACACACTGGCTCGGCCTGAAATCAGACACCCCCACCCCCCCAGCCAGTGCTGCCCAGAGCAGGAGGGGAGAAGCCCCCACTGGTAGCTTTTCACTCTCCTGCAGCCTGGCTTGCCAGGCCGGGATTAACTCAGCCCCACCCCTTCTCTAGCCCCCACCTGTGAGAAGCGGGGTGTAGGGAGGAAAATGCAGCTGGGCACTGGCCCCCCCAGGAGTCTGCCTGGCATGAGGAGGACACCCTCCTTGGGCTTTTCTCTCCTCCACAGGCTGGCATGGGCTCAGTCCCAGCCTCTCCCTGCCCCCCCCACCTGTGAGAAGCAGTGGGGCAAAGAAGGGAACGGAGGAACCCAGCACTGCCCCCTCCCCAGCCAGGGTCTGTTCAGCGTGGTGTGGTTAAAGCTCCCGCCAGGGGCTTTTCATAACTCTGCAGCCTGGTGAACCAAGCGGGGATTGGCTTCACCCCCTCTTGGGGAGGGGGCAGGACTGAGCCAATTTCCACCTGGCTTGCCAGGCTGCAGAGTTATGAAAAGCCCCTGCTGGGGGTAGACCCTGGTGCCAGGCCAGACTGGTGTTCACCTCCCTGCCTCTCAAAAGTGGGGGGGCTGAGGAGGGGCCAGGGCTGAGCCCATGGCAGCCTGACAAGTTGAGCTGCAGGGGAGCAAAAATCCCCAGGAGGGAGGGCGTACATTCATCCCTCCTTCTCATTTCCCCCCACACCAGACAGACCCCAGATGGGGAGGCTAGTGTCTTGCTGGGTCAGTGCATTTGTGTCCCTGCCCCGTGCCTCTCACAGGCAGGAGCTGGATAGGAGGCTGGGCTGAGCTGATCCCAGCCCAGCAAGCCGAGCTCCGGGGGAGTGAAAAGGTCCCAGTGGGAGGTTCCCCTTGCCTCCGCACTGGGCAGCCCCTTGTTGGGCAGTCTGGGGCCAGCCAGGCCAGTGCATTCCCCCTGTTGGAGGTGGGGGGTGAAAGAGAGGGTGGGGATGCACTGATCCCAGCCTGGCAAGCTAGGCTGTGGGAGAGCAAGAAATCCCCACACCGGGCAGACCCCAGCTGTGGGGGGCCAGTGCTGTGCTGGGTGTGTGCATTCCCACCCCCCTTCTGTCAGGCATTAGGCTGGGGAGGGAGTAGGGCTGAGCCAGTTGGAGCCCTGATAGCCAGGCTGCAGGGGGTGAAAAGTCCCCCTGGTGGGGGCTTTACCCATGCCAGACAGTCCTCAGCTGGGGGGCCAGGGCTGTGTGGTGGATTCCCCTTCCCCTCCCCTGCACCACCCCTTAGAGGCAGGGCTGGGGAGATATTTTCTGCTGGCTCTTTCCTTCCTGCAGCTGACAGTGGAGGCAGGTGGGCAGTATCCAGCAGCCCATCCTGGGCCATACTGGGCTCGGTTTAGCAGCCTTAGACAATTGGCCATGAAGGGTGGTGCATGTAAGCGCCCCCAGGTTCTGCCTGTCTTGGCCACCCAAACACTGAACACCAGTTCAGTTTGTTATCAATTCAGTCTACCCAGCTTAGAAAAACCTGTGAAGATTGAAACGATTCTGCCTCGGGCTTTTTGAACCTCTGTGCTTAGCCACACACATGCACTCTCCTCAATTTATTTGTATGAACAGCTCCATTGAACTTGTAAGAGTGAAGTTAAATTGATCTACTTGCATGTCTCCGTCTGAAGTGATAAATAGCAGTGCATTGCTGAAAACCTTAATGTTTATTACAAATTGAAATTGCTGTTTGCCTTTTGTATATAACTTTAGATCAGTAAGTATTAGCTAACCATTTATATTTGGCTGCAGTTATTGCTTACTTTGCAGCTTCACAGAGTTTATGCTTTACAACTGTTGAAGTTGTCTGGGCTGCACAAGTGTTGGGGTTTACAGACACTGACTTATCTGCTAAGTATCAAGAGAAGCCCAAAGCATGTGACCGTAGGTGTAAGGTGCAAAGGCAACAGATAGATTCAATGCACATAAGCTGTTTGTCCCCAGACCTGGATTCTTAGTATGTTGCCTCTTCTTTTGCTGACTTCTGTGTAGCAGCTATTCAGTTGTCTGTAACAGGTTGGGATGACCTTTGTTTAAATCTTGCTCTAAGCATGCCAGAATTCTGTACCCAAAATAAAGAATTGGTTACAATATTTTGCCATAATTTTATAATAGTCTGTGCCTTCAAAACTATTAATAGATCTTGAGGCTTTCTCTAGTTGTTGGTACTCTGTCACCATGCTGCTGCTGGTGCTGCTGTAGTTTATATGGGTTCAAGGGCCCATCCTTCAGGACATTTTTAATTATTATTTTTTATAATGTAGAAGCAAGAGGGAAGGAACAGTTATTTGGATTCGCGCATCCAAACTCTGAATTCTTCTAGCTACTTCTCTGCTATCGTAAATCAAATAAATCCTGTATTGTGAGCTCTAGTGTTGTTTAAAAAGCTATGAACTCCCAAATAATTTACTCCAGTCCAAAGTATATTGTTATAATCTATCAGCAAAATTAGCTTGCTAATTTTTCAGTAACCTCTTCAGTTTTTTTGCTGTTGAGATTAAAGATAAAATACCTGTGCTATACTTTATTATTTTATTATTATTATTATTATTAAATAGTAATTTGTTTTATCCTCCTGTGAGTTTTTTGTGGAGGGAAAATTTTATTGAGTATGTCAGTAGCCATTTAGATGACTGCTTAAGTTATTTACTAAGCACACCTGGAGTTTTACTCTTTATAGCAGGGGTGTCAAAGATACAACCTGCAGAGCCCCATCAGCCAGCCGCAGGAGCTGCCCCAGCATCTGAATTGACCTCCAAGGCACATAGTGCTCTGGACCAGACCCCACTACCACCAGCTACCCCAGCTAGCTACCCCAGCCAGTCCTGGACACATGTCACATTCAGTGCCCACTCTGGCTAGTCCAGGGTCCATGTTGACCTCAGGCTTCCTTCCCCAGTGCATGCAGCATAGGTCCAGATCAGCTGCAGTGGGTGCTGTATGTGGCATGGGTCCCAGATGAACACCAGATGTGCTGGATCCAGCATGTGGGGTTGGGTGGGGGTGGTCTATGGACTGTGGACTGACATGGCAGCACTCATC